AGGCCAAGAGCAGAGCTGATTTATAATTCACAGCCTGAGACTGCACAGAGCCTCAGGGATGGCTCCTTACAGCTAATTTGAGCCAATTAATTAGATTACAGACTAAATTTGAAACATCATCCTATGCCGAGAAAATTATCTTTTTATGAGATGATGATTAAAAAATGACTATCAGTAACTCTCAGATCATTGATGCTGGAATTAATTACCAAAAGGCAAAGGACAGTAATGGATTATATCTCTGAGCCATAACAATGTTCTAAATGTCATTAGTATATTTATCTGAAGGCTGATATAAACCTTACAGAAACTCATGTTTGCCAGCCTAGCCTCTCCAGGCGCCCTTTCCATCTGTTTAGGCCTTAACCATTAGGTGCCCTGGGAAATGTTTCCCACCCCAGACCCCAGCCAGAGTTGTCCCAGATCAAAGCTGCCTGCCCTCCCTATAGAACTACAAATGGCACTGCTGCACCCAATGAGTTTCCTCAATCAAGAAATGGGACATCAGCTCATTCCCCAAAGCAACCTGGGGTCCCCAGCAACCATTCTTGTTTCAGAGGAGAAGCTGGAGGCTAGGAGGTTTGATGAAATGAGCTGGGACAGAGGCATGTAAAAGCAGAGTCCTCCAATGGGGCCTGGGTTCCACCTGGCTTCCCCTGCTGATCTGAAAGAGTCATGGGGTTGGGGCTGGGGCTTCCAGGAGAAATAATCCCTGAGGCTCCAGGTAATGGCCAGCTCCCAAACAGGCCATTTTGGCTCCGAGCAGAAGCTTCTTCTGGAGACAGGGAAGGGGTGGCTGGATCCCCAAGTTGGTCACAACCAGGACAGTGACTTGACCAATGTTCAAGTTCACAAAGGGAAAGCAAGGGCTAGCCAGCCCAAAGTGACACAGGACAGACTCTGAGAGGCCTGGAGGGCTCTACTCAGCCCCCTACTCACAGGCTCTGGAGCAGCGTGAGCCCTTTGTAGCAACAGGCAGATTTCACCCAGAGGTTTGAGGTAACCCACTCTCACTTGGGGAAGACCAGGGCTCCTCACACAGAACCTGCCAGGCCCAGGCTGGCAGGGGTAGGGGTGGGGGTGTCATCCTGCTGCCTGTCTGGTAAACAGGGTCCTGGAGAGCGAGGAAGGCCGCCGGGAGTACCTGGATTTCCCCACCAGCAAGAGCCCAGGAGGTGGCCAGAAGGGGCGGAAAGACCTGCTGAAAGGCAACGGCCGTCGCATTGATTACATGCTGCATACTGAAGAGGGGCTGTATCCTGACTGGAAGGCTGTGAGTCTGGGGACTGCCCCCATCGCCCTTGACAATACTGAGCCTCCCTCTGGACCCCAATCCCCAGATTGTGCCCTTAAAAATGAGCCATTATTCTGTCGGACCTTTAGACCCTGGAATCTAGCCCAGAGTCCCCATGTCTAGGACCCCAGGATGCCATCCCCTGCCAGCCCCGTACGTTGCAGGATATACTTTGGGTCTAATCAGAGCACTTCTCCCTTCCCCCACAACCCAGGAAGTAGAAGAATACAGTTTTATCACCCAGCTGTCCGGCCTGACCGACCACCTCCCTGTGGCCATGCGGCTGATGGTGTCTTCAGGGGAGGAGGAGGCGTAGCCCAGCCAAATCACCGGCATCCAGAGCAGTGGGCCGCTGCCAGCCCTTTGACTGCAGCCCTGGGCTGTGTCCCCTCCATCAAATGCCCAGTGCTGAGGAAGGACAGGGGATGGGGTGGGGAGCCACGGTCAGTCCCATGGAGCCTGGAAGCAGTGCTGCTCTGCGACTCTGGGGCCTGAGGACAGAGACTCAGGCCGGCCGGGAGCCCCTGGCTGCCTAACCAGTGCCATTCTTTCCAAACGTGATTTTCTACAGATCCACAGCACAACCTAGTTTGTAATCCGAGAATTAGTATGAGGACCCAGTTTATGTACTCTTTGTCTCTTCTCAAGCTTCGTCCAGGGTTCCTTACTTTTGTCTGCTGCCAATGTTGTCTCGCATGCCTATACCCTCGCATGCACGCTGCCCGCATGCCACATGCCACACTGTAGCTACCCAGATCCCTTGCTCGGGCCTCACCCAAGGCCAGACTCCAAACACAATCAGAACCAGCCAAAGAAGTACTTCCTGGGCTTGCTTGCCAGCCCTCCACCCCCAGCCCAGAAGGGGCTTTGTGGGGACATGAGGACTGTCATAATTAGCCAGCCCAGGGCTCTTCCCAGAGTCTTGCATTCAAGGGCGATATCATCTTAAAAAGAAAACAGAAAAAGTTAAAATCACCCTTTACTTTAAAGGGTCAGCAAGTCACTAGGTGGACCTTTGCTCTTCCCAAGACAGGATCCCTTCCCCAGCTCAGGGGCCAGCTGGCTCTGACTATCCTGGTGACTCCTCTAGGAGACTTGGATCCAGGCCATGGAGCCATAACCAGAAATCCAAGGCGGCGGCATCACTTTTTTATAGGAAGGGGATTCACAACCTAAAGGGGTGGGGTGGGGTCTTCATTTTCAAAATGACAGATTTGTAGCTTCTCTTCTATCCAAGCCAATGCATCCTCTTCCTTCTGCTGAGCCCCTCGCTGCCCTTCAGACACCTCTGTGGTTCGGGACCAATCCTTCCCCAGGGACTTCCCTCATCCACATGCCGGCTGAGCTCAGGAACTGCCTGCCTGCCCCTGGGTGGGGCTGTGACTCTGGCCTTCCTCCTCAACTGCTACTCTAGCCAATGCCATGGCTAGGGGAACACTGGATGAAGAGACAAGAAACCACAGTGCAGAGCACAGCCTGTCCCGCACCAGTGGGGTGATCCCACACCTGGCTGGGATGGCCAGGTCAATGCCACGTCGTGCCTATGGCAGGCAGTGGTACCGGCTGCCATGCAGGCACACATAAGCCACCCTTCCACTGTGCAACCAGAGCCAGCCCAGGGTTGGCATGGCAGAGCTGGCCCTGAGCCTGGGGTGGAGGCTCTGCAGCAGCACTGCCTCTGCCCAACTGCCTTCAGACAGTGCGGGCTGCTCCTCAGTAATACAGGGAGGCTTCTGTCTGTCTCAGGGTGCGGGCTCTAACAACCCCCACTAATCTCAAAGCACCCTATTCTTGTATCCTGCCTGGCGGAGCTAGCTTTGCCTGGCAAGGCTGGAGGCAACATCAAGACCCTGCTATCAGGGCCTCCAAGGACTGGTGCCCTGAAGCTATGCCTTGTCATCCACTGAGCAGGAGGGACAGGGAGAAGGGAAGAGGCAATGCAGCCAGCCAGACACCAGGCCGTGTGCTGGGGAACAACCTTGCAGCCCAGACAGCTTGGCGCTAACTTGGCACTAGGAGGCACAACCACAGTTAACACTGGTCTGCCTGACTGCTGGCCTGGGGAACACTCCCCCTATCCAGGCCCCCACTGTGCCCCCAGGTCCACAGCCTGGGCTCCTAGCACAGCCCTCCCAACGTTTGGGCAAGGATTTGTGGAGGGTCCCCCACTCCTGGGAGCAGGGCTCAACTAGGCAGGCCCAACCCCCAGGCTTAAACTGCTGTGCACACAGGGAGGACAGCCAAGGCCAAGGCCAGGTCCCCACACCACTCCAGCAGCTTGTCCTGAGGGTGAGGCAGCACATGTGAAGTCAGGCCCACATGCTTCTCATCCTCCCAACTCCCAGGGCGGCCTTAGACAAGTCATACCGCCCTGTGCCTCAGTCACTTTCAGTTATCACATGGTCACCGCTGCCTAGTCAGGTCCTGGCGTCCAGAGGGATAGCCTGCCTCCCTAGCTTCCCTCACACCTCCCTTAGAGCTAAGGACACAATTACCACATTTTTCATCGTGGTGTGCTCATGGACCCAGGCTGTGTACAGCCAGGCTTTTCCATTTTGATTTTTTTAGAAGAAAAACTAATTACCAGGATCACAGATTCTGTGGCACCTATGGCTTGGGAGGGGGCAGTCACAGAGGTCACCCAGATCCCAAACCAAGGCTCTTAACTACCCAGGCCCACCACAAGGGAAGCCAAAGGCAAGTGGGTCAGCTTAAGAAGGAAACACTCATTTCCATTTATCCAAAACCACCTTGAGTTTTAAGTATAATATGAATCTTGATGCTTTTTAACTATTGTATTAACTTGCTGAAATTTAGAAATACTGTTTTAAAAAAAGGAAAAAAAAAACTTTTTTAATTTCTTGTATTTTTTCTGTATATTATCCTCATGGGACATTAGGGTTTTATATGGTAAGACACCTAAGGTTTTGGTAAAAACACTATCAAATATATATCCAGACAATTCTTCCCTAGAAGAAAAACAATCTTTACACCTGATAAAATATTTTGAAAAAAGAGGTGGGTTTTTTCCTTTATGGTGCTGAAAGGAAGGATGGAGAATGAGGAGGAAATAAAACTGTGAGGCTCAAGGCTGACGTTCTCTACTTATTTGAGCGACAAGCTGGGGAGGCCCCTGCTGACTGCAGATCATGGGGGTGGCTTCAGGGGTACAACTCAAGTCTGCCCTGAAATGCTAGGACACTGGGCCAACAGCAGCCTGATGTCCAGGTCTTGGGAGTTTTTAAGCTACCTACCAGTGTGCACTGAGGTCAGATGCCTAGACATTTATAAATGTGGCAGGGGAAAGGGCTAGAAGCCACTCCTCTCAGCCCTAGCCCCATCAAGTCTTCAAGCCCCAGGACCTAGGAATGATTCAGTGTCTCCATATCGGAGCTGGGTGAACAGGGACCTAAAAGTTCCCAGGAAACAACAGGCAAGTGGCACAGCCCAGCTAAGCAGACAGCGCCACCTACCCACCCACCTTAGGAAGAGCACTGTGCCTTTGTTCCCTTCGAGCTTTCTGAGCTTCAGACCAGAAACCGGGGTCTCCTTGGTCCCTCCACAGCTCCAAATCAGTCACCAGACCACACTGCCTGCCACACCGGAGCTGGGAGCCAGCTGTGCAAAGATGCAAATACAGAAGGCTTCCTCCATGATGAGATCAAATAGGTTCCTGGAAGGAGACAGGTCCTTTCAGCCTTCCCTCCCCAAAAGCCACAACCCATTTACAGCTGCAAACTCTGGATATTTTATTTCTCAACAAGGGAGGGTCAGTTCCAGGTATCTGTGAGCTTGAACTCCATGGTGACATCTCCTGAACCTGGGTGAAACTCCACAGCATAGCTCACTGCCCGAGGACTGCCCAGCAGCATTTTGGGATCCAACGTGGGGCTGAGGAAGTACACAGCCTGCTTGCAGTGGGGGTTCCAGCAACAATCCCCCTGTAGAAGCAGCAAGAAGACAGTGAGGGGCCCTAGCACTTGGGCCACCTTAATGTAGCCCCCAGCTGAGGCAGCTCACAGTGGGAAGAAGCTGATTAGGGGCCAGATGACCCAGGGCCACCAAGGAGTCAGCATCTGGCCGAAAGCACACAGGACAGGAATACCACAGGACAGGGTGGTGCCAACTCTGGGGCTGGCATACGATTTCAGCCTGGAACACACAGCACTACCTTGTCTTCTGCGGGCTCCAGGAGGCCAGTGCTGACTGTGCTATCCGGCGTCAAGTGGTATTCCATCCACAGGACAGCTCCATGGCTCCTCCCTGGCCTAGGAGAGTAGGTTAGGCCAAATGGACACTCATGGTGAGATGGTGGGCACAGCCGGGATTTCCCGAAACCTCTAGTCTTCACCACTCCCATCCTGCCTCATAGGGAGATCCTAACCCACCTAATGCCATGCAAAATAGGCCAAGCAAGAGCAACCACAGCTCAGAATCACTATGGCTCCTTACAGCCTGGCCATCTACCTAGGAACTACAGGGCAGGGTCACTCAGCTGCAGAGCCAGTCTCTCCCCACCCCGCCCCATTGAGATTGAGGGCTGAGGGCTGCAGAAAGCAGCCTTGGCACTGAAGGCTGTTAGAATGCTCCCAGATATGCTCAACAGCAACTCCAGCAGTTGATAGCATCTGCCTGCCTGTTACGCTGGTCCCCTGGTCTCAGACCTCTAGGAGCTCTTGGCTCATAGCCTCTGCTAGTCAGGAGGAGGAGGACCTCCTCTCTGTGAAGGCAGCTGAAGCAGCGTGGGACCACCCATGCCTTGCAGTAAGCAGGCCTCGTCACTCCTAACCTCCTTTAATTCCCATAAGAGTTGAGGAAACTGTGCCAATGGGTAACCATAGTAACAAAGCTCACGATTCCTGGCAGCTGAGATCCAACAAGGGAGCCTCAGATGGGGGGGGGCAAGCAAGGCCCACTCTACCCACCCCCACAGGCCCTGTGGTTGTGCAACTGCCACATACACAAGGGCAGGCAAAGATGAGACAAGGACTCCTCCTGGGCCAGAGTAAGTGTCTTCCAAGCCAGCTGTGCTTGGCCACATGGGCAACAGACCATCCTCACAGAGCCTCCACTCACCTCCTCAGCTCCATGGTGCCCTCAGCACACAAGCGCTGCTGGGGGACCAGCTGCCGGAAATCAAAGGTCAGGATCTGCTGGGGCTCAGAGAGACTGCGACACGGGTATTCCCACAGTGGGTGTGGCTCCGCTTCCCTGCTCTCCCGGAAATCCAGGGCAGACTGTGAGAAGAAAGCACTTTGAGGGTGTGCAGAGATGAGCTACCAGCCAAAACGAAGGGTCTGCTAGGGTTCCTGAAACAGGCACCCTCACACTTCCATGACCAGAGTCCCTCAGGGCAAGTGCAGACAGGTAGGACAACATGTTCTCCCAGAATGATTCTGGCTTCTGGCTAGAGCAGCAGGCTTCTCCCTTCCCTGCCCCGCAGCAAGTCATCACCTAAGTTTCACTTTTTCTTTTTTAAATGGGGATGACAATGCCTATTCTTGAGCTACTCTGAGGATGGAACACCGTCAGTAGTGAAAACACTTGCCGCTTAGGATACTCACCAACCTCTTGACACTGGACACTACAGCCATGAGCACCCTGACAGAAGGATCAGAAGCTGGAGAGGTGACCCCGTGAACAAGCCAAATGAGGACCTGGGAAAGCACCAGGGTGCAGGTGGAAGTGCTGGGGGAGGGGGAGAGAAGCTGCTTGGAAAAGGTGACTCCAGGTCAGGCCCTGAAGGTTAAAGAGGAGCAAGAAGGGAAGGGTTGAGGTGGGGTGCAGATGAGTCAAGCAGGGAAGGAATGGGCAGCCCAGGGCGACTATGCAGGGGGACATGGCCAGATTTAGGATCTACACATTTCCTTGTACTCTGTGTGAAAGAAGACAGACAGGAGACATCTCTCAAAGGGAAGAACCCAGGAAGAGCATGAGGAGTTGCCAGGGTGGCAGAGGGACTCAGAGCCTGTGCATATGACATCTCAGCACAAAGATTTCTAGACACGTGAACAGTCAATGGTCTGCTGTGGAAATTGAGATGCAAATGGGAAATATTCATGGGATTTTTTTTTTTACTTAAAAAAATGTTTAGCTGAGTGTGGTAGTATATACCTGTAATCCCTGAACTTGGGAGGCTGAGGCAGGATACTGCCTCTAGTTCAAGGCCAGCCTGTTACATAATAAGCTCCTATCTCAAAAAACAATACCAACACAACAAAAATGTTTAAGCCAGGTGTGGTGGTACACACCTGTAATCCCAGCACTCTGGGAGGCTGAAGCAGGAGGATTCCAAATTTAAATTCAGCCTGGACAATTTAAGGAGGATTTGTCTCAAAATAAAAATTTAAAGGGGCAGGGATTTAGCTCAGTGGTTCCAAGAAGGCCTTGGGTTCAATTACTGGGGTGTGTGTGTGTGTGTGTGTGTGAATGTGTATGAGAATTTTCCTAAATATAAAAACGGACCTGCTCTCCTAACATGGACATGTGACACACTTCACCTCAGTCCTCAGAGCTACACACCACTGCTTCTGTCACAGCTGTCCTGAGTTCTAAGGTGCAGATCCTGGTGCTCATCCACTGCCGTTGAACATTCAGGTATCTGCCAACATCTACTACACAGATAAGCCGGCAGGGACCTCCTTGCACATGGTCATCCCAACAGAAAACAAGTTGCTAGCACTGGAAGCAATGGTGTGGTGACTTAAACCACACCAGACCTCAGGCCAACCAAGATTCCAATTCAGGGGTTACTGTACGAGGCTAGGAAGAGGCCAGGTACACACAATTCTTAGATGAACGCTCATGTGAATCAGCAAAATGGCAGCACTTGACCTTGCTGCCCCAATCAGCAAAGATCTCTACACACAGCTCTCCACTGCTCAAACTAGGTCCCCGCCAGAGCCCTGTAGCCATATGGCAAGGGAAGTGGGGCAGTGCTTGGAGCTACGGCCCTGCCTACCTTAATCATGTCATCCATGATGTGCACATCGAAGCCTTCGCAGTCCCCACAGGGTGTCCGGATCCGCCACAGGTCCTATGAGGAAGACACAGTTGTTCACCCAACATGGAAAACAAGAATAAGAGGGCCAGGGGCCGGGATGTAGCTCAGTGGTGCCATGCCTGCTTGGCAAGCACAAGGTCCCGTGCTCAATCCCTAGTACCAAAAGTAGAGGGTCAACAAGCCAAAAGAATCAGAGGCTCATCTTGATGCTCCTGCACACATGAAACAGAAGAGCTGTCAGAGACTAAAGGGACACAAAGACCAAACAAAGAACCAGGCTGGTTTATGTAACAGACTGGCACAGGAATCTGCAAACTCTCATGGTACCATGTCTTCTCCGTTATGGGGCCCATCAGCTAGAGCTACCAAGCTGTGGCTTTGCACTTGCTGCCCAGACCATCCTGAATACCATTTTTGGGGAGAAAAAAAATCTGTAAAAGAGCTCTACAAGGCTCAGTGCCTGTAAGCAGAGCATGAGGATGACCAAGAGGGAAAGGGCCAGAAAGAGACTTTGGCCCATCCATCTTTCATCTTCTGCTCTTGGACAAACATCCAGGAACAAGCTTTCTCCTCTTACAGCCTTTCTCTGGCCATGAGAACACAATTCACAGGACAATCTGGCCAGGTAATAACACAAAAGAAATGCCAGAAATTAAGTGGTGGAGCCAGCAAGCTACCAACAGATAGAGTCATTTTATAAAAGAAATATCAAATGCAATTCATTCTACATTTCAGGTTAAAAGCATTTCAAAATCCTTTTAATGAAACAATTTCTTTCTCAAAATGACTTTGTGACTGTGGTTCTGCTTTGATGAGAAAATTAAAATGAAGCTTTTCAATTTCTTCTTGCATAAAAGAGCTGACTCCCTATCTCAGAAAGCTTTAACTAGAGCCTCTGCTCTTACCAAGAACAGAGTGAGCCACACAGCATGTCTTCTGAAACACTTAATTTATATTTTTTAATTATTCTGATAAGCTTCAATTGTAAAATGACAACACACAGTCATTTCCATTTCTTATGTCAAATTACTGCTTTTTAAAAAAAGCAAACTTCTTCTATTCAGCCTAGCAGTATGCTAATGCAGGAAAGAAAGGCCCAGTCATCAAGGCCCAAGTTGTTCCATCTATACCCAAGGTCTCTGCAAGAAAACTGGTTTGCCGCCCTCCTCCTGCTTTTGCTTTTTGCAAAGCCCTTTGGATGGCCTACCCTGAACTCCACGACCATGGCGTGCAGTGAGGCAGCCTGGGGCATCACCACAGCGCCAGGCCTCAGGTGCTGGTCCACAGCGGTCCGGACATACCAGAAGTACAGGTTGTGCCACGGCAGCAAGCTGGTGGTGAAGAAGGGCTCGCCCAGGAGGAGGGAGACCTAGTGACCAGAACAGGAGGAAGGACCCAGGCATCATAAGCACTCAGTGGACAAGTAAATGGCAGGTCACCAGTTTCACATCAAAGTAACTGGCCATTTATTCATTTGCTTTCTCACTCAGTCAACAGGCAAACATACCAGACCTCTACCTGCCCTTGAGGACACAAAGATTAGGGAGATTTGAGTCCTGCTTAGGAGTGTGCAGTGAAAGAAGGGCACAAACCCCGGGGGAACCAGACCAGCAGTCTGGCCAGTAGACCACAGAAAGGGCTTACAAATTTTTCCTCACAAATTATCCTTTCCCTTGGGGGAAAATAAGGGCACCGTGTACCTGAATGTTTATCACAGTACTATTCACAACAGCCAAAAAGCAGAAACAGCATAAATGTCATTTAACTGATACATGGATAAATAAAATAGTCCACACAATAGACTATTACTCAGCAATAAAAAGATGGAAATAATGACCATGGACAATTATGCTAAGTCAAAGAAGTCAGTCACAAAGAGCCATATATGCAATGACTTCTTCCTTCCTTTTTTGTAGTAGTGATGACTAAACCCAGCTCCTCGTACACCTAGGCAACCACCATACCCCAATCTTATATATGATTCCATTTATACGAAATGTGCAGAAGCAGCCAATCTAGAAAAACAGAAGTAACTTCGTGGATGCTTCATGCAGGAAAAGCTGAGGACAAATGGAGAGTGGTCACTAATGGAATAAAGTGTCTTTAAAAATTAAAAAATAGTCTCAAATTGGTCCAGTTATGGTTGTGCAATCTTATGAATTGTATATTTTAGTGAACTGTATAACATGGAGATTATATCTTTTTTATTTTTATTTTTTGGGTACCAGGGATTGAACTCAGGACCTTGTGCTTGCAAAGCAGGCAGCTGAACCACTGAGCTAAATCCCTGGCCCTAGGTCATTTAAATTTTTTTTTGTTTGTTTGTTTTTGTTTTTAAACCAAGGATTGAACTCAGATCCTTGAGCTTGCAAGGTAAGTAGCAGAACCACAGAGCTAAATAAATCCCTGGCCCAAGATTATATCTCAATAAAGCTTTTTTTTTTTTCCTTTTCTTTTTTTTTTTTTTAGACAGGGTCTCACT